CACAGGCAGTAACCTATCAGCTGCACTGACACTGTTTGCATGACACTTCCTTTAAAGAGGGAGAGAAAAACAAAACACTCGTCCCTCCTTTTTAAGGCTGCTGTGTAAACAGTCCTCTAGGTTTTGGGGGACACACCTAAAGGAGACAGGTGAGGTGAGGCTGATCAGGTCATGGAGCTGCCTCTCCAGGGCTGAGTGAGCAGCCAAGTGCTCTCCAGAGCTCTCCCCAGAGCTGTGGGCACTGCTGCTGACAGGGTGAAATCCCCCTCCAGCCACTGTCCCCAGTCAATTGGGCTAGAGGGCTCCTGACCCATCTCCCAGCCCATGCTCCCCACCATGCTGGGCCATCTACCTCACTCCTGACACATGGTGAGCCCACAGCAAGTTAAATGTACATCTTGAGCCTCTTGCTTTGCCTCATGTTGATGAAATAAAAGTTTCCCCACCCCACCCTATTTTCTTATTTCTAGCCTAAACACATTATCCTGTGCACACAGATCCAAGAGCTCTGCAATGCTCTAAGGCCTTTTCTACAACCCCGATCAGGACATTCCCAAATCACCTTGACAGCCGTTGTTGGGAAGCATCTATGTCTGTGGCCAGCTTGTGTCTAGAAAGATCAGAATTTGGTTCCAAACCTCTATTTTTTTCCTTCCTGGAACCAAAAGGTACAGCCTGGAGTTTCCTGTGGTGCTGGCTTCTATCCCAAGATATGTTTCCTTCAGTAGAAGAGGCTCTTACCTCTTGAATTTTTGTGGCCTCACTGATGAAGTTCACTGCTTACCCCATCACGCTGCACAAGGCTGTGCTGGGAATCAGGGTTAAATAAGATGGAAAAACTGGGTGCATTTGTACAGCTGAGGGCACAAAGTGCTGCCAAGAGACAGGAGCTCCTTGGGAGAGTTTTGTCACTGGGAAAGCACACCCTAAGCTGGCTCTGTTGGGTGGTCTAACCTTGTTTTCAGTGAATACTGGACTACTTCAGTGTGCCAAAACAGGCATGAAGGGGACCAAGCCTGTGGGGTAGGTGTGGCACAATATCTGATTCCAGTTACATCTCCATCCCCAATTACTATTCATTAATCAACACAGATTCATTATACAGGCAAAACTCCCCCCAGCATTGCCAGGTCCAGGGCTTGGGTCCTGCCTCTGTTTGCTCCTGCTAGGAACTGCAGCAGCACGCAGGGACTGTGCAGCAGGCAGAGCAGTGGGAACGTGTTTTCCCCAATACAGGAAAGCTGAGAAAGCTAAAAATAATTCCTGGAAGAGGTGGGTGTGCAGGAGGGTTATCCCATGCCTGCAGTGCTCTGGGATGTATTGTACAGCACAGGGACATATCCCCTTTGCTGTGTACAGACCAGGGGGCCTGGGGGACTCCCTAGGGCAAGCAGTGTGGGAGAGCACCATAAAACATCCTCCACCTCACCAGGGAGGGGGTGGCTTTCTAATTACCCAGGTGGGTTTCTATTGTAAGGAGAGCAGCAATGCAGGATTTGACGCCAGGGCTCTGAATGTGTCACCTGCCAAGGGCAATTTAGCAAGTGGCCTGTGCTTTATTTTCCTGTTGTCCACAGCCAAGGGCCAGCACAAGCCAAGACCCCACCCCTCTGGGACCTGCCACCCTGATAAACTGCTTTACCTCATGTCTGCCTTCTCTTAAAACCCACATTGCGGTGTGGAAAGGGTTTTGTGGGTGCATGGGGCTATATATACTATTATTGTGTCTTTAATTAGGGCAGATATCAAAATGCTTTAGGATTTCAACCATCCCATGAACAACTGCCCAAACTTCCTGTTTGGTTACATAGCAGGAAAAGAAGAAACAAAGCATCAACATTTTATCAGTTTAGTCGAGAGGGTCTGGCTGACACTCAGGACAGTGCTTTGCAAGCAGACTGTCCCTCAGCATCATACAGTGCAGGCTCTGGTGCTGCTTCCATGCTGGGCAGCTGATGGCTCATGAGCTCCAGTCTGCCCAGCACTACTGACAGTACATATTCTTCATAACCGGGTAAAATCAACAAATCAACAGAATTTGCCTTCCAGACTTTTTTTTTCCCTATCCAAAACCAAACCAAAAACAGGTCTCTAGGCAGTGGAAAAATCAAAGGGAAACCACCTTCAGCATTGTTCTCAGATGACCCGTGGAGTGACCAGCAGGCTGTTCCCATGGGTGATGGGGGAGCACCCAGCCCTGTGGCCTCCAGAGCCCAACCGGGCTTGGCCCACGTGTGCCCAGTGACTTATGGAGCAAAGCACCAAAATCAGCTTCTAAACAGCTCTGTCCAATTCAGCTCTGACACTGATCCACCCCGAGATCTCCAGACCACCCATTTCTGTGCCTCAGTTTACCCAGCTGCAAACAGAGATGTGTACATCCAATCTCTTCTACTGCAAGGACATTGCACAAAGTGGTCTATAAGTGCAAATTTATTAACAAGCAAGACCCAAGTCTGCTTTTGCCTGAGGTGGAAAATCAAGCAGCAATACAATTGGGATCACTGCACTCATTGCTGGGTGACCTGCAGAAGTGCTGGCTCCCACTTGCCAGGCCTGAGCAGTTAATGTGGAAAAAACCTGGAGCAATGTGGGAAGGCTTGTCCCAGCACACTGCTTTGTTTGCTGACAACTAGTGCAAGTGACAATGTTATGAGTGACTTTTAAGATCTCTGTGACTTTAATTAGAAAGGACATTTTTAATAGCCTGGGCAAAGAGCTGTGTGGTCCTGCCAGCGGCTGCTCGCGGCACAGCTCACGCCCAGGGATGCTGTTATTCCTCTGGCATGTGATAGCAATATCATGTGTGAACTGACAGAGCAGACATGCCAACATTTTTTTAGCTGCACAAGCTGTCTCAGACAAGAAAAAAACCCATCTATATGGCCTCAGGGGCAGCCAGACACAACCCTCCAAAATTACCTGTGTGCACATAAAAAATGCATGCAGATTTCCAAGCCATATGCATGGGTTTTAATCAATGAGCTTCCCTGATACATGGGAAACACTTCATTCCCAGTAATTGTCCTTTGACAGCTCTAACAAGTAGGATCTGTTCGGGATGGTAATGATTAAAATGCTGACTCACAGAGGGCTTTCCATGCTGGTGGGGCTGCACCAGCTTTGTGCTCACTTGGAAGGTATTTTGTATCCCTGCTTTTCAACCAATCTGCAATTTTAATCCTCTGGTTACAAACGGGTTGTTTGTGGCTTTGCCCAGATGACTCCAGGTTTCCCTTCTACAGAGTCTGGAGAGAGAGGGCTCTCCCTTCACTCGCTGAGGGGCAGCAGGGCAGGGAAAATCCCTGTGCTTTGTACAGCCAGGAGTACTGAGGAGCTGGTCTGTGTGCTCTGGGCAGAAGAGAGAGGAGTGACAGGTCTCCAGCAGCAGGAGCTGAGCCCACAGGCCTGCACTTCAGACACCAGCTGAGGTGAGGTGTCAAACCCCCGGGCAGGTTGCTGGCTCTGCAATGCCCTTGAGCATTTCACAGCAGGACAGAAAACTACTTCTCAAAGGTATTGAAGTGCATCCCCCTGCCTTGCCATTGCTCTGCTGGCTGTGGCCACTTGCCTGCATGTTATGATGGGTTTGTCCCTGTGTCCCCTTCTGCTTGTGGGGCAGCTCCCCAAGTGCCATGTCCAGTGCAGTCCTGTTCCCTTTTGCCACTCTTTCATCACCTTGAAGCAGCAGTGATTAACTCAGGGAGATGGGTATACCCCAGGGTCAGTCAGAGAATTGAGAGGAGAAGGAAAAAGGCAGCACTTCTGCCTGTCATAGAGCCAGAGTTACCATGGGCAGATGCTGTGTCTGTGTGCCATGGGACAGTGAAAGGCAGAGCCAGTGGGCTGTTTGGCACTGCTGGCACAGCACACTGCTTTGGGGCCAAGAACCCACACTACCCCATGGAGCAGCCAGGATCCCTGCTCAGGGTGAGCCAGCCTTGGTGGGACCATTCGCCCACAGGAAAACAGACTAAGAAGCTTCTATGAACACCATCTCCCCATTCCTCCATCAGCTGCATAGCAGCTCCTCAAAACCATTAATGATACTGGCTGTAACTACCAAAAGTCTTTTTGGATTTCTTCTGATAAGGATTTTCCTTTCCCAAGCACAGATGATGGCTCAGCTGCAGCTTATTCCACTCAGGCTATGGGCAGATCCTGCCTGGAGTAGCAGCAGCCATGCCTTTGGTGCAACAGCCCTCACTGTAAGGAAATTGCCAACTCCAGAAAACTCTTCCCCTAATTACAGCACTGGAGCATGGAGAAAACCACATAAATGATTCACACAGTGTTCCCAAGCTGCAGCCGCGTAAATTAGAGAGATTTCCAAATGCTACCGAGCCACACTCGCTGTTATCTGGATGGAAATGCAGAAACTTTCATAAAGAGGCGAGAAGGAAAAAACCTGCCGTTAAATGCATCTCTGCAAACCAAGGAGATCTGGGAGGTCTATCCCCTATAGATCTTTACAGAAGGGTTGTTAAAACTCCTCAGGGAATTCTCATAGGAGGGAGCAGGCAGATAGCAGGGGAACTATAGAAATGCATATGCTTGTTATTTTGGAGGGACATGGGGTTGGAGCCTCTGCTGGCAAGCAGAGGATGAAAAGGAGAAGGCAAGAGGACTTGGGGCCAGCAGAAAGGGATGGCTGGTGGCAGGGAAGAGAGTTAAAAGTGTCCCATTGTTAGGGAAGTTTGCTCTCCTTCAGACCATCCCGCTCCCAGGGACACCCGCCGCCTTTTGAAGTGCAACCTTAGGCGGTTCCTTGTCACCCATTGGAGCGAGAGCTTTTTTACCACATTAAGTCATTGGGTAGCAAATGAATGGGGGGTTTTGACTATTCACAACTTCACCTTATAAATATCAGGGTTGGAGGTTCCTGCAGCTTTGCTCCATCCCCATAGCTCACCTTGGGAAGGAGTGGAGGGAGGCAGCCCTGGTTGTGCGGAGACCTACAGAGCAGCCAAAGGGATCCAACCCCACTCCTTGTGACAGCCATGAAGAGAAGCACCCTCGTCATCCTTTCCATCACAGGGGTCTACAGTGCCATTCTCCACACAGCAGCATGGTAGGGTCCAACTCGGTGGAAAGGACATTTTTTTAGAGATGCTCTTCAGCCTGTGGTAAGGTGATTTATTTTATTTTCTTTGTTTCAGGTCTGTGAATAACTTTCTGATGACAGGACCTAAGGTAATTAACATATGGACTGTGAGGAATTTGAATGGAGTGATTTTGTTTTGCAAATGGGAAATAGTACTTTCCAAGGAACCAGACTTCCCAGAGCATATCAGCTCCAAGTCCTACCAAGTACAGAGGGGAAGGACTTGCAACCTGCTTATATTTTCACTGATAACTGCTAAAACAGGGTGGGTTTTAACCCTGCTGTTTCCCATGCCAGGCTTACCTGACGTACTCCAGCAGTGTGGCGGCCGGGGCACACAGTGGGATGGAGGAGTGCAAGTTCCAGTTTGGGTGGGAGCGCTGGAACTGCCCCGAGAGCGCCCTGCAGCTCTCCACCCACAACCGGCTCCGCAGCGGTGAGTGCACGTTCACCTGCGGCACGTCTCCTTGCCCCGGGATGCTCTAGGTGCCAGCTGGGATGTGCTCTGGAGAGAGCTGGTGCTGCTTGATTTAACGGACTGATGGAAAAGGGCCTTCCTGTCCCAAAAATCACAGTTCGTTTTCCTTTATCTGTATTAATTGATGTCACAAATAGCAATAACATTTTCCTAGGGCTCCCAGGCTCAGTCTTTCCTGCACTGCTGCTCCATGGGTCTGCTCCTACCCCTTTGTGTGCAGCATCTCGGGGAGTGTAGTGCTAGAGACACCCGAGGAGTGCAGGAGAGGCAAAGGGAGAAACCAGAGGCAAAGGGAGATGTGCAGTAAGAAACTGCCTCCATAAGAAAGCTGTGGATATATTTCATTATTATCTATTTCAATGGGCAGAAGTCTCCTTTTACCCAGAGTAGCATCTCTATTTGAATCTTTTCAGAAGCCAAAAAGGACTACACTAAGAGTGTAGGTGTAGACAGCTGTTAGCACAGGTTCAAAGGATCAATGACCATTTTCTCCAGCAGGCAAGATCAAAGCACAACATACCCCCAGGCAGGGAAGGACAGAGATGAGCGGAGTGCCAGGTGAAAGGAGAAATAACTCACCTTAGCTAGGGCAGGGCTCTGGCATTTCCTTAAAATCCTCCCCTGGCAAGAAGTTCCATCCCCAATATGGACACCTGCATAATATGATATCAAATTGATGTACCCTGCGATGCTGAAGCCTGAAAAGATCCAGTCATGAGCATTTAATTTCTGTAGCACCTTACCTTTTGCACAGAGTATGTGGATATTTTCCCCTTGCACCTTTGCAGCACAGGAGATTCTCATTCCTGAGAATCCGGAATTGATGTCTGTATTTGCATGTGACAGCATTTTTCTCCCTTCTCCCCCAGCTACCCGGGAAACCTCCTTCGTGCATGCCATCAGCTCAGCCGGGGTCATGTACACCCTCACCAGGAACTGCAGCCTGGGAGACTTCGAGAGCTGCGGCTGTGATGACTCCAGGAACGGCCGCGTCGGTGAGTGACTGTCCCAGGACAGACTGACCCTGTCCCTCTGTGCTCACACACAGCCCCACAGACTTCAGGGCAGAATTTGGGGCAGGTCTGTGCTTAAGCCTGTGTCTGTCTTGCAGGTGGCCGAGGCTGGGTCTGGGGAGGATGCAGTGACAATGTGGAGTTCGGGGAGAAGGTTTCCAAGCTCTTCGTGGATGCCTTGGAAACAGGGCATGATACCCGTGCGCTGATTAACCTGCACAACAACGAAGTGGGGAGACTTGTAAGTAATAATAATAATGTCTATATTGAAAACAAAATCTAGGTTGTTTAGGTTCCCATTTCCAGGCCCCTGTGACAACCCAGGCCTGGTAGTGGTTGCATGGGGGGGAAAACACAGCCAGAATCTGGCCTTGAACCTCAACACAGGGAATCACAGTAAGAGTTGTTCCCACTTCCAGGTTCTGCAGCTGTGTAATGCAGTTAACTGCTGGCACACACCACTTACTCAGAAATGCATGGGGTTTGTACTCACCTCTAGGCTTGTCTAGTCTGTAAAACAAAGCCAGAACCACCTTCCCTACTTTCTTGCAATATGCATTTCCAGGCTCTTCAGCCAGGAAGCCAGGTGTGAGCTAGCCCTGCTCACAAGCCAGCCAGACTCGCCCCCCACTCCCACCTGGGCCATGGAGGCTCTCAGCATCTTGCCAAACCTCCTTGTCTGTAAAAACAAGGATGACAATACTTAACATACCTATCTCATAGGGTGTGTCAAGGCTTAATCTCACGTAGATACTAGCGATTTGGAACCTTATAAATACCAGAGGGAGATAGGCAGATAATGTGAAGTGCTGTGAAGTGCTTGGCCTGGAGGAGATTGGGTATGATTATTCCAAAGCAGTTTCACACATTTTGAACCTCTGAAAGGGACATGGGTTGATGCTGGTGAGTGGCGTGAGAAGGGAATGACCTGACAAAGGCACTTTTTTCCTTGCCTGGATTCTTCTGGAAGGGCTGGGTACAATAGTTTGTGCTCACTTACGTCTGGGACAGATGTTTTCCAGGAACTAAGAGCATTAGCTCTTGGAAGGACCTGAAGTCACGCCAAGCATGAGCCACTTTAGATGCAGTGTCCCCAAATTACAAGTGCTGTAGAGCCTGATTTTGAGATTTCCTAATTTCCTCACCTCATCCCAAGGCAGTGAAAGACACAATGAAGAGAGCTTGCAAGTGCCACGGGGTGTCAGGCAGCTGCAGCATCCAGACCTGCTGGCTGCAGCTCACCGAGTTCCGCGAGATTGGCAACTACCTGAAGATCAAATACGACCAAGCCCACAAGCTGGAGATGGACAAGAGGCGTGTGAGAGCTGGCAACAGCGCCGACAGCCGCGGCGCCACAGCAGAGACCTTCCACCACATCCACGCCACGGAGCTCGTCTTCCTGGAGGACTCCCCCGACTACTGCACGAGGAACGCCAGCCTGGGCCACCACGGCACCGAGGGCCGCGAGTGCCTACAGACTGGCAAGAACCTCTCACAGTGGGAGAAGAGGAGCTGCCGGCGGCTCTGCACCGAGTGCGGCCTGCGAGTGGAGGAGCGGAGGACGGAGGTGGTGGCCAGCTGCAACTGCAAGTTCCACTGGTGCTGCACGGTGCGCTGCGAGCAGTGCCGGATGCTGGTGGCCAAGCACTTCTGCACCCGCCGTGACTCCGCTGCCCCCAACCACATCAGGCAGAGGAACAGGGGGCACAGGAGATAGGGGACACTTTGGTGTCCTCACACAAGGGGAAGGAGCGTCCTGGGGTCCAGAGGGTTGAGTGTGCACCGTGTGAGGTGATGGGGTCTCCTGTGGATGGATGCAGTGGGATTAGGAAGCACAAGGCGCGGGCGCTGAGGGACCATGGTCCATCTTGCTTCCATGTTTTTTCCTCAACATTTACCAGTAGCTTCTTTCTTCTTGGGAGTCACTTTATCTGTGTATTGGACAGAGGGGAGGAATGTCATGGCTTTGGTGGGCTCAACCCCTTATGTCCTTGCCAGTGGGTTTGCCAATGCCAGAAGTGGGGCTCCAGCCCCGCAGCCAGAGGTGGGAACAGGTGCTGTGGCCAAAAGCAGGTCCAGCCAGGTGATCCCATCTGTGCAGCTTCAGGTCCCAGCCGTTCATGCACAGCAGCTGCTTGGCAGCATTTCTGGAGGAAAACTTATGCACTTTGTGATGTGAGAGGAGGTTTGACAGTGTTGTGGTATGTATTACCACAACTGCAGCTTTGAAAAGTTTACAGCCAGTGTTTACGTATTTCCCTCAACCCCCCCACTTTTTTTCTCCTCCTTTTTGAATTTTGTATTTTGGCACAAGAAGCCTTGCCCCAAATAGACAATAGCTTCATGTATTTGTACTGGATAAAATTAAGCAGTTTACAGTTCCTATACTTCCTTTGTTTTAAAATAGCAGATAAGAATTCAGAATTCTTTATGCCTAATGACGTTTATTAATAAGTTGTATTATTGCTTAGCACAATCTGTTTTCACTATATATTTTGAAGGTATCCCTGAAGAGTTAGATTCTGGACTGTTTTTTGCAATAAACCACAATGAAAAGAATTGGTTTTTTCCTTTCTGGCTTCCTAGCAGTATGATTTTAGGTGCAAACTTGTCCTTTTCTGTGTAAAACCCAGCAATTCCACGAATTTCCTCATCATTAATCCAAAAGCCACCAAGGGCAATGAGTTTGTTCTCCTGGATCTCAGTAAGTTGGCTCCAGCCTCCAGTCCCCAGAGGGTTGGCTTTAGTACCTATCACCATAATCTCGCCCTTTCCAAGTGCTGAGTATGCAGACACAGCCTGGCTAAAGCCGATTTTGAAGCTCCCAAAGTCTCTTTAATTTGCTCTACCCGACATCTCCCAGACAATGCGAGGCTGCCCCGCTTTGATGTGGAAAGCGTCACCATCGGCACTCGCTGAAAATTTCTTGGAGGCACGAGAGGAACCCTTTGAACTGGAGCAGGAGAGAAAACTTGGGGACAGTTGTGAATGTGTCTGCTGGTTCCCTGCTGCTCCGGGTGCCAGAAGCCCGGACGAGGTCGGGGAGGGCAGGAGGGGACAGCGCTGGCTGCTGCTGTCCCAGGGCAGCTCCTGCTCCTTGGAGTCAGAGCTGCTGCGGGGGGAGCCAGGGCTGTGCCATCACCCACACCCACGATGCTGGGCAAGGATGCTCGACAAGATGCTCTCCAGCCAGGGAAAGAGGAGGAGAGACAAGTGTAAAAACCACCCTACTGTTCTGCCAGCACATTGCACCCACACTGCAAATGCTTCAATGCTATTTTATCCAGGTCTCCCTATGGCTCCCTGTGTAAACACAGCTTCAACACATACGAGAGCCAGATCAGGGAGATCAGCTTGCAAAACACATTTGGGAAGCACAGCTGACTTCCATGCATTTATTTTATGCAAAGTGTGTTTTATTAAAGCTGGAAGGGTGACACCGTCAGTTAGGGGGGCTTTGCTGCCTTCAAGGTAGCCATTTCTAGTAAGTTACCCTACCAAAACAAAATACCCCAAGATTTTTGCACAGTGTTGTCACAACAGCAGTTGCAACCCCCCAAAATTTAGGCTGAACTGAGAATGATACAAACAGACAAGCAGCGCTGCTTTCTTGAGCATTGGTTATCTTGTCTGCACAAATAAAGAGACCCCCAGTGTCTCTTTATGTATTTGTTTGTACTGTGCTCCAGAGCCCCAGCAGCTGCAGGCACAGGGTACCACCAAAATCCCACAAAATGAGGTTATACAGAGCACAGGACAGTCTCTGTTGATGTGATGTCAGAGGAGGGAAATTATTTCACCATGATAACTCCCAAGCACACATAAAAACCTTCCTGCTGTATGCCAGCAGCAGGTTAATAAACCACACAGGTAAATCCTGGAAGATGAGGGCCCCAGTAAGCAGGAATGGGTGGGACATGCTGTGTGTCATCTCACCCCTTTCTCTGCAGCATCTTTTGAAACTAACATTAATGCAGAAAATAAGAAGGAACAGGTTTGTAGGTGGCAACAGCACCAAACTTCTGTCTCACAAAGGCTCCATCCCAGGGAAATAGGGCTGGAGAGGTACGTAGAGATACCACTGCCAAGACCAATCCTTTTCTCACTGAGCCCTCCCATTCCCACCAACTCAGCATTCATATCCACCCCATTGTATTTAAATGCTGGAAATGAACTGTTCTTCCTTAAATTTGTCATCAAAGTAATTTATATTTCTGGTAGCCAGACTCTCTAAGGCAATGAGCAAATCACACCCAAAAGCCAGAGACCAAATGCAAATTGAAGCAAACTCAAGAGAAAGTTACACACCATCCCATGACAGAGATTTCCATTCTCTTTTTATACCTTGCAGCGACAATACCAAGACTAAACAAATACAAAAATCAACTCTATGGCTTAGAGTGGCATCTTGCCAGAGATATTAAGTCCTGGCAAAGCTGAAGCTTCCTCATCCTTCCTCTTGTTGCTTGGATACAACAGTCATCAATTCTCACTACATTCACTACAAAACAATAGAAATTCAGGATCATCTTAATCCATCACAGCACTGTCAGGGAACCCTGACACCCCTGCCTGCTGCTTTGGTTTCTGTAATAACTCTCACAAATGCCATGGGGCAGAGGGTAACAAACTCCGAGGATGCCACAGGACTGAGCTCATCATTTCAGCTATGATTTTACCTGGGCAGCTTTTTTACTTCTGCAGAGCAGGAGTAAAACAAAACGTTTCAAAGAAAACAGGAGCACACACAGCAGAACACAATCCTGTTACTGGCTGCTTTGTAAAGGCTCCTTCTCCCCCCACAGCCAAAGAGTTTTTGTAAGGACTGGTGATGCCTTCAAACCTGCACGTGTTTGGTCATGATCATGATCACCCAAAGTCAGCTCCAATCTGGGGCACTGATCTCAAAAACCTGTAACCCACTGCACACCTGGAGGAAGGAATGGGCTTGCTCTCTAAAGCCTTGAGGAGGACGCTGACCACTGTCCCACAGTCATAGTATTGTCATAGTGTTAATCCTAGTAACAATGAAAAGCCGAAAATCTTAATCTGGGCCAGGTGCTGCATGTACTCTACCCAAAATCTTGCTGCCTGTCCCCCAAGAGCTGTCAGCACTGCTTCTTCTTTGAAGCAGGGGCCCTTCAGGCAGGGTTGTGGAGCAACTTGGACAGTTCTGGAGCAGCATCTTCAAGTTTGACCAGCCATTTAAATGGATAGAGCATCCTCTGTGATAAGAAATCTGTGGAACAGCAGTGGAATCAGCTCTGAATCACCACTGCCTTTGTGGAAGGTTAACAGCAGTGTCCCACCAGCCTTTATTGTGGGAGACTTGGTTTACATTTCATTTTTGTGAGAAAGGGAAACACACTCCAAATGATTAAATAATATAGGACAGCTATAGCATTACCAGAGACCAGGGCAGGTTTATGTCAGAGGTGCCTGCTCAACTAACAGAGGATCAGAAGATCAGTGATTATCAGTTTTGCTGTCCAGGTGACCACCCCAGCACCCTCACTAGGGGACAGTAACCCCCAGTTTTCGTCTGGTGTCTCCTTCCCAGCAGGTGGAAATGCCCCCACAGCCTCATTCCCCTTCAGGCAGGATCATGGGCACGACTCAGGTGGCCTTGGCTGAGGTCGTCTCCATCAGTGTGTGGTGGAAGGTGAAGTTTGGGGTCCAGGTGTCAGCCTGTATCAATAGAGATGGACAGCACATTCTCAGGGCTGCCCAGCACATGGAGGCAGGCTGGGGCTGTGTTTGTGTGGGGACTGAGGATGTCACCTGGCACAGGAACTGGATCTGTGCTGTTTCCTTTGCTGCCTCTCATAGAAAAGGGTGCAAGGATGGCTCTGGCAGGGAATTCACACCATCATTGCCACCGTGTGCCCCCGCAGCCTCTCCCAGCAGACTGGCAGAGACATTTCTGCTTGGAGATTGAGGTACCTTCCTCAGGCTCTCTCCTCAATATGTCACACTATTGCAGAATGACCATCAGCAAGCAGAAAATCAAATTTATTTAATACACAAAGTGCAGGTCCTGCAGATGATTTTGCAAAGCAGTTTGGAGGTGGATGGCTTTTGGTCTGCTTCTGCTCCCTCCTGCCCTGGTCCCACCTAGCTGCAGGCTGTTCCCTTCCCCAAAGCCCCACCAAAGCCCCCACTGAATCCCACCACCATCCCTCCTTTTCCCCAGCCTGCTTCCCTTCAGCTGTTAAACTCCTTGCCTGCTGGATTACCTTTAATTTATGCCCCCAGTGCCCTTTCATGGATTATAATTCTGTGTGAGATGTTTGTGCTGTATCCTCCCCCGGTATTAAAGTGTCAGGACTATATCCCCAGGCCATCCATCTTCAACACTTCCGCAAGGGCTTGGCAATTCTCTGACATGAATATTATGGCTCTCCATGCAGAGCCTCCATCACTCAAGCTGACAAGTGTTAGAATCTCCTCTCTTGAACAGGGTAAGTGACCTTTTCATATGCAGCGTAGGTTCCCAGTCACGCTGCATCTGGTCCAGGGAAACCAGTGAGTGCCAGCAATTCCCTAAAGTCTTAAAAAACAAGTCACAGGTCCTTTTCCACTTGCACAACCAACTCTTAGCAGGAAAATGTTAAAGGCCTGAATCAGCCCCTGGTTACCTGCTGCTAGTGCCAGTCCTAGAGAGGAGGATGGAAAAATCATCCGTTCCATGCCTTCTGCAGGATTTATCAACAGGTA